TTTTTTTTTTTAGTTTTTTTTGAAGGGGGGGCTCGAGGTTCCGTTTTTCCCATATGCTGAAAACAGCTGGAAGAGTGCACTCTGTAATTGCCATGCTATCCTAGCTTCCGCCGTACTTGTTGATTAGTATAAAAGTTAACAGTTTTAAGTTATAGCTAGGCGTTAAGTCTCTTTAAAATGACTACTTTTCATCATGGACTCCTTTGTCAAACTGCTTCTATAAACCAGTCTGTTTTCACTAGTGGACCAGGGAGAACAGCCCAGGAATCCAGCACAGTGATGGGTGTTCACATTCCCAAAGGTATGAGTGTCCGCTGTAACATATACAGTATCCACATGGATCCCGAGCACTGGGGACCTCCAGATCCCAGCCTATTCTGTCCTGAACGGTAAGGTGATGCCATCTATCGATAACCACATGATATTGATTTGCGAATCACTTGTTCTGAATGCGCTTTCAAATAAAGGTGTGGAAATATAACAAGATATCTTTTGGAGTTTATATTTGAAATGCTTGAGGTCTCAATGTTTCAGATTTATCACAATACCTTTTCCTTAATGATATTTAGTGAAAATTTCATTTTTGTTTTTATATTGTTTAAGTTTGTACATATAGTGTTGGCATGATCTTGTCATACTGGCTAAATTCATGTTTTATGTTCCTTCTAAAACCCTTTCAATTTTACATTTTTCTGCGAGATTCTTAATGTTGAATTCCATGAATTTGTTTATAAAATTAAAACATGCCTCTAAATATTTAATTGTATGTTTAACAATATACTCAGCTAGGTATATATTTATGCTCTGCAATAGTCGTGTGGAAACACGGTTCACGTGACATGACGTAACTCTACGTCATCTTTGTGTTGTATTTCTATCCAGGTTCATGCCAGAAAGAGTTGCTAAGCGTCACCCTATGGCCTGGCTTCCATTTGGGGCAGGCCCCAGAAACTGCATTGGTATGAGGTTCGCCCTGATGGAGGCCAAGATGACCTTGGCGTGTCTCGTGAAGAAGTTCAGCGTTGAGACCTGTGCTGAGACGCAGATTCCACTGGTTCACGTAGCTAGGGGCACAGTGCAGCCGGAGAAAGGTGTCACCGTGCGTCTTACAAGGCGGAATACAGTGACCAATAAGACCGAAGAATAAACACATTTATTGAACGTATTCACAAAGTTCCATCGAAATTGTCATGATTGACAATGCTGTATGACTAATACCTGTCAGCATAATTTGCTTATATGCTTATTAAGTAGAAAAAGTTGAGGAATGTGTTCCAATTAAAACGTTCGATTGTGCGGATGGATGTCGAATTTAGTTGATAAAGAACAGCATTATACTTTAAAGACATCAGTGAGGATGACAATTAATGTGAACAAGTTTTATGATATGTATATGATTTATTTTAAATTAAAATATTTCCCTTAATATTTTATTAATGTATTTTTACAGATATGTTATGTCACTTTGCATGTTTTTTTAAAGAACACTGGCTAGGGTGTAATATATATATATATATATCCAACGTAATTCCAGCTCCATAGTTTGAGATGTTGAGATTTAAATGTGCAGTATACCAATTTACAGTTATGGGTGTAAATAATATTGCATTTTCTTTTTTATATATATAAATCGATTTATCAATGTGTTGTATTGCTAAATCTCACCATTTTATTGATTCTCAAGTTCTTAGAATGACAGTGATTTGTCAAACTTTCGCGACAGTTCCTGGAACAAGGTTAATACACAGTAAACTTGGTTTAGTTCCACACATTGGTATTTCTGTTCTTTTCATGATAAATACACTATATTTGTTTATTAATGATTGTTGTTATCAAATGATTTTCACTTTATTCGCACCGTCTGAAGAAATTAAGAACGCATGACCGTTAACATAAACTAACATAGGTGTACAAAAATAAGCCTCTTAATTATACTGCGCATGCTACCGCGGTCTGCTACAAGTCAACCTAGTTTTTATCCATTAGTACAAATGATCAAGTGCAAAACAAGCATCTTTGGGAGCATTTCCATCAACCCATTGTACTACCTGGATCGATCTAAATCTGCGGGGATTCTCGCTGAGTTGCATTCAGTGTAAGTGGTTAAAGGGATAATAACTATTGGTATGATATCTATATTTCACAATAAAAACATTGTGAACAACTCATGGAAATATAATATATTCTGTTTTACCACAAAAACTGCAGTTATAGCTATTATTCTGATATCTGAGCTTGTCTTTAGACCACGTGACCTCCACTGATGGCTATACTCTGTTACAATCTCTTAAGAGATTTTAACAAAAAACCAAACTTTTTAGAAAAAAACCAGGGAGTAACTTTGAATGTAAAAATGGATTCATTAACCATTGGTAAGTATGGGAAAATTGTTGTTTACTCCAGGAAAATTCATTTTTTGGCCAAAATGAAGTTATTATCCCTTTAAATGTCAAGCACATCTGCCCAAACTGTGAGGGGTAATCAACGATAGTGAGTTACCCCCTCGTTACACAAAGGGCATACCAAAATTGAAGTCGCTTACACTAAATGCAATTTTACAAGAATCCCTGCAGAGTTAGATCGATCCAGCTACATGTAGTATGTTGGGTTTATGGGAACACCCCCTATGGGAACGCAGTCTTCATAGAGATCACGTAAGCTTGTTAGCCGGGTAAATTTTAACACAGCCCCACTTTAGACTCCGTACTATGCATTCACTCTCAATGTTTCACAAAAAGACGATGACAAAAATCTTAAATGCCAATGTTCACTGGAGATTTAGTAGAACAATTTTAATAACAAGTATTTGGTCTTTTGAAAGCTATACATGTATATAACATTGCATGCCCCGGCCATTCGCTGACACACAGATGAAACAGTTAACACCCCCTCCCCTCCCCCAGTCTTTCTCTTTCTATGATGAACATATATTGTCGGAGGTGATGTCACTTCTCGCATTCAGTCTTAAATATGAGCATGTGCTCCTTGGAGACTTCAAGGGTATAGATATAGTGACCAGTCGATACATGGACTACGTATACAACAACCAAGTTTTCTCAAAGCGTGCTAGACGCCCTATGTTAATTATTACATCCACACTTGTTCCTAGACTGCTCTTTTTTTTATTAAGCCATAATGTTTCAGTGACAAATTCCCAGTTTGGTGACATACTCTGAATAAATGACATAAGGGTATTTCTTTTAATTGCAAACCAGGTAAGCTTCTATGGAATTTGTGGTGACAAGCAACGGACCAAGCCACAGAAACCACATAAATACAATATACCTATGTGCACATTTTTCACGAGGTAATTATAGTATGAATTTTTTACTCTTATCCTAGGTGCAGTTCTTTATGGGGAGCGTCACTCTTAAATTAATAGATTTAGAAATTTATATTCAGATCGTCACAAATAAAGTGTTTAGCGATAACTTGGCCCAAGGTGCGATTTTTTGAACATGCATAAAACGTATGTGTGGTAACCGTGCAGAGAGAAAAACCTACTCACATGCCTTCGATACTAGACACATCGTTTACATTAAATCATTCGCACAAAAGGAAATCAACTGAAGCCCCCATATTCCAGATCAGACTACATGGTATACAGACAAAGGCGCGTACATACATTTCAATGGCACTATATATATATATATATATATATATATATATATATATATATATATATATATATATATATATATATATATATATATATATTTTTTTTTTTTTTTTTTTTTACATTAAATTTATGATTCTGCAATTTGTCTGAGATGAAGGTCACCTCCATTACATCGTACGTAGCTCAAGTAAACTATCTAAATAAGCGTGACTTACACGAATGACACCAGACGTTGTTTTCGAGAATTTTATTATGCAAGTATGCGAGATTTTTTATGCAAGTATTAGACATTGATAACAAAGGGAAGCAGAGAATCGAGCCACCGCTTTAAGAAAGAGACTTCAGGTAGGGTTACGAAGAGCTCCATATAGACATTTTGCTCTAAAGTCGTTATTTAGCTTTAAAGTCAAAGCCTTGTAAAAATAACAAAAATTTTTAAGACAGGCCCCCTTGCTTCATAGTGGACATCACAAAATATCTGAAGTCAGAACTTATGGCAATGAAACTGATATATTAATTATTAGTGATGAAAGTAAAACTTCTGAACAATCTTCATTATCTGTACTTACTTGCCTACACTTTTAAGTAATTAAAATTACCTTTATATCTCAGTGTAACTCGAAAATGTTGACATTTAGATCTGCTTGGCACTTTTTTCATCGCTTGTTAACAAGTTATGCGTAACATGTTATGCAATTATCAATGAACAATAAAGCAAAGCTTTGCCCAATAAATGTTAGAAAACAGAAAACGTCATTTACTCAATTATGTGAAACGGATAATGATATTTTTTATCGATTTTGATTAATCTCACTCTCTTATCAGGGAATATTTGTTTGCTATAATCCATTATTCACAAGATATTAGGGGATCATGCACGCTGTAGCGATTCGTTGCTTATTAACTTATCCAAAGGCTGTTTAATTTGTTCGTTTTATTTTCGAACAGCTAACCATGTATGTGCTCAATCTATTAACTGGCACTGTTTTAATCACCGCTTTTAATGGATACAGTTACGGACGGGATGTTGTGGAGGTGAGTTTTCAACATGTTTTACATTATGCACAATAAATCAATTACATGTATTTAATCACGGAAAATATTATACTTATAAAGTAAATGAATTCTATTTTAGGGAACATGTCCTTTGAGAAAATATAATATTGCCATAGCAACTATTTCAAAACAGGATTTAATCAGATGCATCGCTAACATCCTTTAGAAACTATTAACTCAAGACGTGCAAATATCTGACCTTTGGATTCAGAAATTAACCTTGTGGTTTAGAATTATGGACAACAACAATGACGGTTTAGTCTACAAAGAGGAATACGTGGATGAAGTGGCAAAACGAGCTCAACAGGTTCTCTCCCCATGGAGGGCCAAGGCTGTATACGGACTAATGGCAAAAGATTGGCAGGTTTCGTTGCCAAAAACGGCCAACACAAAACAAGCAATTAACCTCAATAGGTGGCTTAAGTTATTTGAAATGGACCTCTTAAATGCATCAGTGAATGAGCATCAGTTACACTGGTGTTCGGACTGGTTCCATGTTTTAGATGTAGACTGCGATGAAGAAATGTCTGTTGACGAATATTCCAACTTTCTAAATATAACACGCAACATCTTGCCTCCTGAAGAACTGTTCAATACCATTGACCGAAATCTAAATAACATTATTAGTATGGAAGAGTTCTTATTTAGCTGTAACGATTATTATTTCGAAATGAAAGACAGCAAAACAGCCCTGTTGTTTGGTTCTCCAGGAAATTAACTAAATATAAAACCCAATGAGGGTCGAAATTATCACATAAATGGATATCAATATTCGGAATGGTCTAAAATAAAGTTGGGGAATTTTTGAAGTTGCTTATTCATACGATGTTTTCATAGATATTTTCAATTTGATCCAGAAGAAAGTATTGTACTTTTCGTCTTTTAATGATAGTAGTTACATCCCAAAAGTCCGGGTCTACACAAAACGCCGAATCAAACGACTACAAATAAAAAACTAAAACATCTTATTCCCCAATTATATTATACCCAGGTACTTTAAGGTGTATGTGTGGGTACTTTCGTGTGTTCAAGGGAATGTTTATATGTATGAATTAACTGTTCAACGTTATTCGACATGGGAATTTAAATAAACATTAAATGTACATTTGAACTGACTTCAAACAAATCCAACATGCCAAGGGATAAACGAAATAAATCACTTGATCCACCTTAAAATATATTTAAACTGCTATTTTCTTTAAAATTTTGGTCGGTGACTTGACCTAATTACCTGACATACTTATCTGGTCCGTTTATATAGAGCACAGAAAACAAGAAGAGAAAATCATTCAAGCATCAGTTTCCGATGTTATGAAATTTTTTTTCTGTTTTATCTATAAGGAATATTATTTGAACTATATATATGCATGGTGGCCTTTGGACGGCTCTCGTGGCAAAACTTTGACTTCAATTGGATCTTTAAGCTCGTATCCGTCAATTTGTCTATAGTTACCAGGGCCCTTGATCAAATTGTTCTTCAGAGCCAGCGACATACTAGTAATAACTATATAATTGGTTAATCATTAGTAATTAGTTAATCATTTGAGAAGACCTGACGAATCGACGTTGTG